CACCACTGGATGCGTTTGCCACACTTACAGACACGCAGAGATGGAGCTTAGGCGGCCGCCCGCGGCCACACCACAGGCGAGGAGCGAAGCCGGGATTCACACCCAGGCCTGGCGGCTGCCAGCCCAACTCTGACAGCTTCTCAGGCTCCAACCGCCTGTGCACGCCACGGAACAACGGCCACCGCAAGGGCAAAGTCCACGGTGCTTTCTGGCACTGTCGTGCCACTGCTTGACCTCGCTGAGGCGGCCTTGAAGATAAATAGGAAATTACAGAAATTGCTGCTTTCGCCATCCAGTGTGTGAGGAGGGAGACTCGCCCCGCCCTCCACGGGAGGTGCGCGTGGTGAGCGGGCACAGGGCTGTCCACCCGATCAGCCCACACGCCACACATGGCTCCGCAGGAGCCAGTTGCACGGAGGCCAATGAGGCTGAGTTGCACCAAACCTTCGCCTCCTAGAAGCACAAGAAGAACAAGTTGTCACATTGCCGTTCAATGAGCTAACGCCAAAACAGGGTTTATCCAACTAAACTTGTTCTTCTTCAGGCCCAAGTGGGAGGGTTCCCAGCCCTCCCTGGGCCTCACCATCCCCCGAGGCGTTTGAAGGGTCCAGGCTTCTGGACCCTACCCCAGAACCACTGGATCCAAACCCCCAAGGTGTGAGCACAAGGATCTGTTGGGCTTTTTCTTGTGAAGTCCTGGGTGACCCTGAAGCAGAGGACATCCACCCACTGCCCGCGATCACGCCAGACGGGCCTGAGCATCGGCACCAAGGGTGCTCGTAACGGATGCGGAGCACAGGTCTCCGTAAAACGGGCTTGGCGGTGACTGCCAAGGTCTAACACCAAGCCACCCGGGCACGGGAGCCCACCGGTAGGGTCTTCCGGGCTGCATTTCATGGCACTCAGGCCAGCAGCAGTGATGTGCGTCTTCCATGCGGATCCAACTGGGCGGAGCCAGGAAGAAAGAACAGCGTGATGGGGGGGGTGAGGGCCCTCCTGGTGCTCACGGCGACTCCATTCTGCCAAGGAGGAAGGAAGCCCACCAGGGTTAGGAGCCGCGGGACAACCAGAGGTGAAAGGACAGAGAAAGGCATTAGCTTTGGAGGTCAGGATTGTGTGTCTCCTTTCTGGGAACAGTTTCAGCAGGTCGGGCGAAGTGAGAGCCAGCCGGCCAGCAGTGGTGGCCAATAGGCGCACGGGCGAGTGGGGCCAGAGTGAAGCCACCAGGCTGGGGACAGGGAAGCTGGGAGTGAGGGCTTGCTCGGTGGCAATGGCGGAGGCTTCTCCCCCCGAGCCCTTGGCTGCCAGGACCCCTCCATGAAGTCACCATGTCCTTCACCCTTTCATCCTGTTTGTCACGTGTCACTGCAGGGTGAGACGAATACACTGTAGTAGCAACAGCAGGGGCCTGAAATCAGACAGCTCAGCATCAATTCTCAACCTGCCGCTTTCAGGCCGGTGGCCTTGGCGAGTTCTGTAGCCTCTCGGAGCTGTGGTCTCTTCTGCCAAAAACAGTCGATGACAAGACTACCTTTCAGAGAGGCTACAGTTGCTGGAAGAGCTAATCTACGTCCCTGACACAGACAGCACCCTTCCTGATACAGTGGCAACATTGTGACTGTTTCCCCCCCCCTCCCTCCGGCGCCCGCCCCCTCTGCCCTGCTCACTGCAAAGCGCCACCTCACAACTTGGCACATGTTGCAGCGCCGTCCTGAGACACGGTTTTATGTTAGCCCACGCCGAGTCTTAGTCACCGAATCACCGGGGGAACTGGCCAAAGGCCCAGAGAGCTGGGTGCGGGAGCGTTTAAGCAACAGAAGTGCCCAGTCTTTTACCAGGCAGGCACACGGAAGAACGGTTTCTAAGTTCCATACAGAACTGCTTCATGTTCTGTGGGGCAATAAAATCGTAACTTTTAGGCATCTAGTGTTTACCACACACAAAAAAAAAGCCTTATCACTTTTCTCCAGGTTGCCCTCTAACTTTTCAGGGCCGTAAAACGCAGGGCCGCTCAGTTGCAGGCGGCAGTCAGCCACCTCCCCCAGGACAGAGTCGGATGCCTGTCAGGCAGGCCGATCGGAAACCGCTCTCGCATTCCCCGCCACCGCAATCGCAGCTTTGCCCCATTTCTCGGGTTCCTGCCCGATGCTTCCCCCTCTTGTCTCTGATGGGTAAAGGAGGCCGTCCCCATGAGGTCTGTCCTCAGCATTCTTGTCTCACGTTTGCTCCAGCGAGCACCCGCAGCCTCACACCGCATGGGGGGCGCTGAGATGGCCCATGCCCAGCCCCCCTCCCAGGGTTCATTCCCACCCAGGACTCACAGCGGGGGTTTCTTCCGCCGAAACGATGGATAACACGGCCGGCCTTCTTGTACTTAGCAGGCAGTGTGCTCTGTGGCTGAGAAGCAGCATTTTAAAATTAGGTTCTAATAAGTAAAAGGATCTCTTTCTCTGATCTGCATGTCCCAGGACACAATGTGGGCCCTCGCTACAGAGTCGCAGCTCTTGGGCCTTAAACAGAAGAGCTGGAGCCTACGGTCCATTAGAGGAAGCCTTGCGCCATCAGGGGTTAGCACCGCGCGTAACCTGCGCAGATTGGAAGATCTGCCCTTACGCTACAGACGCACTCCCTAAACGTGGCAGTGGCCCCCTCCACGCAGTGCCGTCCGGGGCCGCTGGCCACAGGGGCCCTCACACTGTCCCAAGTGCAAGGACGTTCCGGGGGGCCAGTAACTGCTTCTAAGCCATGAAGCGACTGCTGTATTGGAACAGAGTGGGCACTGGCCACGTGACACCCTCCACACTATGAAGGGCACTTCCTTTGTGAATGGGACAGCTAATTAACAGAAAGAAATTGGTTTCATCCCCAGCGACCTCCATAGGGGCGTCCCTCGCCTGCCCCTCCTGGGTCGCGGGGTCCTCCTATTCCAGGCGACTGTCACATCAGTGCCTTGGTGGGGTGTCATTCATTCACTCACTCAGCTGAAATGCACGGGGTGCCACTAGGTGCCAGACATGGAAGACACGAGGGACACAGACCTGCCCTTGGCCCTGGATGAATTCACTTTCCACCGGAAATAAGTACAAAAACACTAATGACTGTAAAACCACTCAGCGCCACAACTTAGGGGTAAACACCGTCTTTTCCATCGCCACTCCTTTTGGGGGGGCCTTTCAGAAAAAAGTAGAACATGATGAGGAAGTGTCGAAAGTTGGGATCCACCTGGAGGGGAAGGAGCGCACTCACCGGCTTCCGCCTCTCACCAGGCACCGCCCTGCACCGCGGTCCCGCAGGGTGACCGAGGTCGCGGGGCCCGGGTGTCGTCCCTCCGGTCCCTCTAGCTTCCACGCTCACCACCTAGAGAACCTGCTGAGAGGCGATGAGCAGGCAGTTTGGGTCTCGGGGTGCAATGCTGCGGCCAGAACCTGCCCCAGGGCGCCTCCGGGTGGAGCTTCCGGCCCTCGGCTCATCCTGGCACTTGCGTTTGGTTGGGGCTGGGGCTGCTTTGTATGCAGCGCGCATCCTTGAACCTGGCACTTGACCTTCTCACCACTCAGGGGCCTCATTTGTAAGGTAAGTTTGCCGTGTGCCCGGCTGACTTCTCCAGGTCATTGAGAGGATCAGCTGAAATAATGGAAATCAAAGCGTAAAAAAGAATGTGCTGTGAACTTGGAAAGTATGATTGGTATGAGTAATTTCATGTTATTTGATTTGATATGATTGGTATTAGAGCATTTCACGTTATGTGATTTTTTTCACGAATTTATATTTTAAGTTATTTTCAGTAATATCTTAAAAACAGCTCTGGGAACGTTGCAAAAGAATCATTACAAGTTAATAAAATGACTTGCATGTTCACATTAATATTAAAGCACAGAAGAAAAAATTTTAAATACTATGGAAGGCAAGATAGAGGGCTTCCGTTTGGGTTAACATTCTGAAATATATCTCTAGGCCACAAGGTTTTTGTACAGAATCCAAACAGGTACCAATCCTTTTTCTGCCCGTCACGCGGCGTGGAGGTCAGGGGAAGGGATCGCTGTGTCTGAATGATCAGACAGGTGCACAGCGACAGCCTGCAACGGCCCCTTTGAAACCCCCCCTCTTTTTCATGGCAAGATTCAGGGAGGATTCCGTCCTCCGACATGAATAATATTAGCGAACATTTTCGAGAGCTCGCCTTACTATAGATCCTGACGCCATTCATATTGTCACTCCACGATGTGTCAGACACTCATTCCAAGTCTTTAAAAAAAAAAATTAACCCACTTCACCCCCGACACCCCCAATGCATTCGGCGGCTTTCACTTCCTCCTGGGAGAGGAGTCCTTTCGGAGAGGTGGAGGGGCGTTTCCAAGGTGCCCACGTGGCTGGAGCCGGGATTTGAACCCAGGGAGCTGGCTCCAGAGCCCACAGCCTCAACCTCTGGCTCCATTCCCAGCCCTCTTCTCTGTCCCGTCCACTCCATGACCTGCTCCTGTCCCCTCTCTGACAACATTTGGAGTGTCCCATTCCCCAGACGCGAGAATCAAGCATGACAAGGTGCAGAAGGAGTTTAAAAGCAACGACTCTGGGGTCACATAGACTGTCCTGCTAACTGGCCTAGGAAACGGTTCAACACTTCCAGTCCTCGATGTGCAGTAAGAAGGAGCACAGTCACCTGCGGAAGCATCTCTCTACCGAAGTGTTTAAGCGCGTTTATCACCTGGCGTGCCTCCCAGGCACCCGCTAGGCGACATTTATTACAGTTATTCAAAACAGCAAAGTGGGGGCCTCATACTGCAAAACCGAGCGGCCGTTCCCGCGCGCAGGCCACCTGCCAGAGCCAGCGTTCCGGGCGTGCCCAGCCCGTCCACCGCCCGCCGCGTGGCTGTGCGGCTGAGCTTCTTGCCTGAGGGCACATCCGTCCCTAGGAGTGTCCCGTACCCGTGCCTCAGAGAGCCTGCCCTTCACCCCCGCATGCAGGAGTGACGTTCAGCCCCTGTGCCTTGTTCACCCAGGTCTACAGAGTGGACGAGAAGGCGGCCGAGGAGGCCCGGTGGGAGGAGTCCTCCAAAGAGACGATCAAGAAAACCACCAAGCCCTGCCCCCGCTGCCGGGTGCCGGTCGAGAAGAACGGTGAGTCTGGGCCGCGCAGAGCGAGGCTTGGCCGAGCCCCTGGCAGAGGCACCGGCTATCGGCTGGGCGGGCACAGCGGCCAGGGCCGCTCGGAGGGCCTTGTGGCCGGCCGGCTCAGCGCGGGGACTTTGGAGGCGTCTGGCCACCATGGATCTCGGCGTCCCCCACCAGGTCAGGCTTCTTGTCCCTCTAAGCGGCAAGTCCTCATCTGTCGGATTGCCCTTGTTATTACTTATTCCTAATAACAGTAGATGTGTTGTGTCTGATACGTTGTCCTCTACTCTAACCAAAACAAACAAGAAAAACAGTGCGAGGGGCCTGCCCAGTCCGCTGTCTCCCACAGCGCGCGCCCCAGCGCCGTGGTGTCGGGGGACACTCACGGGGGAGGGATGCCACCGCATCAAGTAAGTGTGGCGGTCGGTTTCTCCGGTGTCTCCCTCCTGGGCAATAACAACAGAACAGCTAACATGCATGGAGCGCTTACTGTATGCTTATGCTGGGTCCTCCCCAAGTGTCTGCAGGCCGCTTAACCCAGAAATCGCTCCAGGAAGCAACGCCCCGCTTCCCAGTGCTCACTGGCAGGTGAAAGCATTTCAGAGTTCCTTGTGTAAAACAATCTCTTTCATTTAGTTAACCAGTCAGTTTCCTTTTTTTTGTGGCCGTAACATTCTCTTTTCACCTGTCGCAGCACCTCCCACCTCTCTAGCCCTGGAGCGCACTCGGCGTCTCCTTTCCTGCTGCGGGCGGCTCAGGGCCTGGCAGCGCTGTGGCTCCATCACGAAAAGGCCCTTTACGTCCGTGCATGTTTGAACAGGGCCTTTTCTGCCTTCCACCGAGTACGGTCTAAACCGCGAGAATGTGAAGTGACGGAGCTGCCAGATTAAACGACCCCAACGGTGGTCCACGTCACCCAGGAGCAGGTTTCGGGGCTTCAGACGCCGTATCTGAACGGTCGGTTCTGCCCAGTGATGCTCTGGGCCGGGGCAGCGTCTCGCGCGAGGGCCAGGTCTGCCTCCCGTTCGCATGCAGTCGCATCTCCTCCTCCTCTAGATGCTCGGGGCCACCATGGCTGAGGGAGCCTCGGGAGCGCCTTGGAGGGGAGGACCCCCTCCCAGCCCCTCACAGGCACGCGACCCATGTCACAGGCGGCAGGCTGTGGCGAGAAGGCCGCTCGGCCCCGTGGTGACGCGTCCGGGCCTGTGGCTGCGGACTCCGCTCCGTTGTCAGTGCCCCCGCTCTGACGGCCGCGCTGGGCGGCCTGCGGTCTGCTGGCCAGCGTGTGCGGTCCTCCCCAGCTCTGTGGCGTGACTGGAAGTCCGAGTCTAGCCGATGCTCAGAGCATCCTTCCGGCTGCCCCACTCACGGAGGCCCGTGAGCCCCCCGCCCCTGGTGGGGCGCCTGCCGCCATCCACCGCGGGCTGGCAGCCGGCCCAGAGCCATCCGCCCGGCGTCCAGGGTCCTTTCTCGGGGAAGCGCGTTGTCCCGCATGAGGGAGAGGCAGCAGCACCGTCACGGATGAGGAAGATTGGGCTGGCCAAGAAGTCCGTTTCGTTTTTTCCATAAACGACACATTTTTCATCTTCACCGATAACCTGATCGATGTGGATATTTTGAGGATGTCACCTGTCTCCCACTATTGGCTTCTAGCAGGGAGAGGCCAGGGCTGCTGCTAAGCATCTTCCAATGCATAGACAGCCCCACAGCAAAGAGTTACCAAGAAACTTTGCAAACCACTTCCAACACGTTTGATCAGTCACAGCACCTTCTCCACACGCTGCACAAATCTTTATGTGTGTGTGTTTCAGTTGTGTTTTTACCTTTCTTGGAGTAATAAAGCATAATACGCCAAAAATGTTGCGTATCTCCTTCCATCTTCAATATTAAAATGGCTCCACAAAAATTCACCCATTTTGATCATTTTTTTTAAATGCACACTGATAGAGCTGTGACAATACAATCTAACAAAACTGTTTCAAATGAAGTGAAAGACAACTAAGCACTACCACAGCCATCGTATGGAAAAAACCAAATGACCTTTCTGGCCAACCCAACAGAACGAAGCACCAGTTGCAGCTTGTCCCACGTCCTCCCTGAGTGCAGACGGTGCCCCAGTTGGTGGCTGCGAAGAGCTGGCTGTGCGGAGTGAAACCCCGCAGCCACGTGAGGGCCGCCCAGGTGTCCCCTCGCTCAGCCGTGTCCCAGAGACAGTGTTCGTCTGCATGAACACGGGAGCTCTGACGCGTCCCCCAGCGGCAGGGACGGGCCCGTCCCTAGCTCTGAGTCAGCTGTCTCTGGAAAATGATAATAATACTTCCCCCTCGAGTCAGCGCTACTCACTCGTGGGGGGGCTGCCCCTAGGAATGCGGTGGGCTACACGCACCTGCCGGGGGGAGGGGCCGTGAAGGAGAGGCCGGAGTTTCCCAGCCCCCTGACCGAGCCAGGCCGTGTAGTATGGGCAGCAGGAAGCGAGGGAAACGGAGGCCCCTCGGTGTCCCCTGTTGCAGGTAGTTAAAGAATACAAATTAGATGCAGGGATGGGCAAAAGTAGGTTTACAGTAGTGAGTCCGCAGAACAGTTTATTCTTGTATTATCACTTATTAATTATTGTGTTGTTTTCCATACAAACAACTGACAACCTACTCTTGCCCAGCCCTGTAGTAAGAGACCATTTTGTTGTGATCCAAGGCTGGGAACTTTGTCTGCCCCCTGGGCCCAGAGAATGTCAGCCAAATAAATGTTTGTTGAATTGAAAAGGGGCCAGTAAAGGCAGTGTACACATAAACAGGGATCCTGGTTAAACAGCAGGGAAAGGGCCAGCGGCTGGTGGTTCAGAGCAGCCTCCTGGGCGGGGGGCGCGTGCGAGGCGGGGACCGCAGACCGACTCACGAGCACAGGACATCCGCCGGCAGGGTTCCTGGCCAGGCGTGGTGGAGCCCGGGCCGAGCTGCGGGCAGGGCAGAGCGCACGGCCGGAATGACACGAAGGGCCGGAACTGGGCTCTGGGGCGCAGGGAGCCAGGGCGGGGACAGGCTGCGCCTCGGACCACACTGCAGCCCTGGGGGAGCAGGGGCAGGAAGCTTTCCTCCTCTGGCTCTTTCTTTGAAATACTGCGAGGCACTCTCTGTTGAAAGCGCTGATTTCCCCCATAGATTTTTCACCTCTGAACTGGAAAGCTGGAACTTTAAGCTTATTAATGGTAGTCTCAACTGTCTGCAAGCGTGTCTCTCCAACGGAAACAGAGGCAGGCCCTGTCAGCCAGCAAAGCTAGCTTTGCTGTCTCGTTCCAACCCTGTTTCCTGTTCAGCTAATCCCAGAAACCTGGTTCCTCCTTCAGCAAAGCTGCAGTGATCGTGAGAGTTCGATCCCTTTTCAGCCAGGCTAACCCTTGGCCCTTGCTCCTATAAGCCTGTACAATTTCTGGAAGTTTCTTCCTCCTCATGGGAAAGGAGGGAGTTCACCTTCTCTCCTCTCCTTTCGTTTTTACAGCTGGACTAATAAAATAATAAAATTGACCCAAGACGAGCAGGAGAGAGACCCGTCTCCTGCCTGCAAACAGGATATTTACCATGTGATGCCGGGGTCACAAAATGAGCCTCCGGGAAACGATCCAACCTTTTATACGTGTTATACTTTTAGACGCTTTTCATTAGGCGCTTTTCATACATTTTAGACAAAGCAAAGATCGATATGCGAGGGACCGACAGGATAGGGAAGCCAGTGCTCCGCAAACAGGAGCTCAAGTGAGCTTGGCTCGGGCTCCAAGTCCGCCAAGGCAGCCAGGTTTGTGTAGACAGGTCTTTTCGACACAGGATGTTTTCACCCTTGTGAGGGGCTGTCTCTCGGCCGTCGGGCGCAGGGAGGGGACCCGTCATAGAGGTGCATTTCCTGCGTCACCAGGGACAGAGGAGAGTCCGAGAGCTCCTGCTGCTTCTAAAGTGATTTTAATCTGAAATTACCTGGGCCCCGACACTTTCTTCCAGCCCACGCAGGAGAGATTTGGGTCCCTTGCCTCGGTCAGCAAGTGCTGGTTGTCCATCGGACGGGCCTTCAGGGTGTCCGTCTCTCACAAAGTCTCGTGGCGCGTCACTGGCCAGACCTTGGCATTGACTGGGCTTCAGGTGGTTTGGGGATTGGCCGGTGGGCAGGGTTCTCTAAGAGAGAAGCCTTCTCCTTTCCATTTAAATATCCACGAAGCTATCAGCAGCTTCTGCCCCTTCCCCAACGCAGGAGGTAGAGTGCCTGCTGCTCCTGGCGTCATGTGACCTTGCGTGTGCTCAGCACCAGGAGGGAAGGTGGTGAGGCCATGAATACTCTTCCGCCCATTTCCTTTCTTCCGATTCCACTGTGCCGCTGCAATTCTGGTTTCCATAATCAAATCTTTTTTGTAATGCTAGCTAGCGGTCCCTAGCCATGAAGATTTTGTACATAGGAAAATCTCTTCAATCTTTCATTTAGCATCACTTCTATATTTCATTGAACTTGAATGTACACTTAAGAATTCTTTATGATATTCCAGAGGAACTTAAGCGATTTACAGTATTACATGATTTTATTACATTAATTACATCATAAGTGCATAGCATTAAATATGTGTTGAAAAGTACACAGTCCTATAATTGTAAATCCAAAATGGAAAATATTGAGATAAAAGTATCATAAGTGAGTTTTTTGCTTTATTTTCCACATATTTGTAACTTTTTAAATGACCTTTCAAACAAACCAAAAGAAGGATAAAAGTGTGGAATTTTAAAACTCTTAAATTATCCTAATAATTATTCCAACACAATTGCCTTTACTCACATATTCATAAATATTTTAAATTAGTGGAAGTTCTTGTGCCAAGCTTCTAATAATAAGAATGAGGTAGCGCTGAAGCAATTACATGGAAAATTCGGCAAGACAGACGACTTAACAGGATAATCAGTAACAGTGAAGAACGGAGCTCAGTCGATGCTCTGGAGGATTTGGGCGGGAACTGGCTCTGCCCCAAGTGCCCGGGGCCGCACGGTCAGAAGTCGTTCTCCATGTAGGGCTCAGACAAAGACCTGCCGTGTCGGTCACTTCGCATCCAATTTGGTGACTGAGCCCTACAAGCCCCCAGATAAGGCACTATCTCCTGTCCAGGCGGCCCTGCCCTGGGAGAGCAGGGACACCGAGGTCACGAAGGTCCCGGTGAAATCTCGGGCTTCGTCCTTGACCTTGAGGAAACTCTACAAGCAGGGCACACTCCCACCTCGCAAGGTGCTTTTGGGAGTGAATGCAATGACATACGCAGGGACTCTGGCGTGATCGTCAGTCTCTCCCTACCCTTCTCATCGTAAATGACGCTCTGCGTGGCACTAAGGGGCGTGTCCCCCACTAAATACTTCCAACACGGCTGTCCCAACTCCTGTTTTATACATGTTGCCAAGTCAAGGAACGCTGAAGAAATGATAGGAATTACAGCGTGTGTTTACATCGGTACGTGTTATATAGTAAATTATCAAGTATGTTGCTGCAGACGCACTATTCAGTCTTAGTGGGTACCTAAGGGAGGCCTGGAGCCTTCCGGTGAGACCCAAAGCGTTGGCCTCTGACCCCCTTCAGGAGGAGTCAGTGAGCTCAGGGCGACACAGTCAAATGTGTCCTTGGTGGACGTGGCGCTTCGTCCCGGTTCAGATGCTGCCCCCCACTCCGGTGGCTCGGGTGGTGCCCTTAGAAAGCCACCTCTGGAGCAGCTGTGGGCAGGTGGTGGGGGGACATGTGCCAACGCTTTGCCCGTGTCTTTTGTCCGCAGGAGGATGCATGCACATGAAGTGCCCACAGCCCCAGTGCCGGCTGGACTGGTGCTGGCACTGTGGCTGCGAGTGGAACCGCACCTGCATGGGCGACCACTGGTTCGACGTGTAGCTGCCGCGGAGCACGCCACCACCGGGCTCGGGACACGGCGTCCTGCCGGCACCAGCGGCTCTTCCTTTCCCCACACACACGCACAGAGACATACACTCTGGCTCAGGCACACATATGCACACGCATCCACACCTGCATGCTCGTGCATGCACACATATGCCATGTACGCACCCACACACATGCACACCTACACACCCACATGTGTGTGTCATGTAGTGTGTGCTTGCACACGCATGCATACACACAAGACCCACATGCACACACATGCACATATGCACATGTGTTTGTATGTACTCGTGTTATACATGCAACACACCCGTGTGTGTTCTCGCATGTGCACCCATACATCCATATACACATATGCATGTGTGCACACATGCATTGTACACATGACACACATGCATGTATGCATACGTTCACGCACATGCACGTGTTTCCCACATGTGCACGCACGTGCACGCATGCATGCCATTCTTCCCAAAATCACAACAGCAGGCACAAGAGCATCCCCGGCCTCCCTTCACCATCCCTGTGAAAACCAGCAGACCGGCTGCGAGACCAGCAGGGAGGCGTCCCGGGCATCAGCGGCGCCCCAGCCAGAGCTCAGAGGCGGCGCGGCCCGCCTCTCGGAGGCGCTGTCCCTCGTGCGCGGACTCGTGGCAGGCTGGGCTAGCACGGAGCACGAGCTTCCGCAGGGTTAGTCTCCGGCACTGGACCTGCAGCCGGCACTGGGAAGCAGCCACCCAGCGGTGGGAAACTGCTCGGAGGGTCCGTTGCGGATTCTCAGAACCCTCTTCCCCGCTGTTGGGCCGACGCTCTGATCTACGTGCATACGGGGCATCGGTTCCCAGGGAGCCACAAACACTAGCCAGAGCGCCGCGTTGACCCCCAGGAATTCTACCTGTGCAGGCCGCGCTGATGAAACGTCACCTGTGCACAAATCTGCTTGCCAGCGAAGGGAGGAATTAGGAGAGCTGATTTGAATGTTGAGCTTTACGTCGCAGGGAAGCAATCAGAACTCAATGGACTATCATTCAACTTGATTATTTGCAACTTTAGAAATTGTTTCTCTGAAAATATTACCAAATCTATAATTTGATTATAAAGCGTTCCTTTCACAGCTTGGAGAATAAGCTAATTACTTGTGGCTTCACTGCGGATGTAATGGATAAGGCGCCTGGGAAGGAGACATTTTTAGAAGCGGTTTCATCATGATTCCCAATGTTAACGAGAGTGCAGGTTATTAAAACAGAATATTTCAGGAAGGAGCCTCCCTGGACCATCAAAATGAAGCCGCACCTGCCTGCCCGCCTGTCTGTCCGGAGGGTCGCAAAGCCAAACGTCCCCAGCCCGCAGACCTGGGGCCACCCCAGGGCACCTCCCTTCCCCTAGCGCAGTGAGCCCACGCGGGATATTTCCTTGTGTTGACATGGATTGAAGTGCAGTGTTGATCTAAGTTTTTCTTTTTTCTTTCTTTTTTTTTTTTTTTTGAGGCATTCACAGAGCATCAAAAAGACATGTTTACACTAAACACAGCAGACCTCACTTCCTGCCGCACAGGGTGCACAGGAACAAGGGGGACTGCTGTCTCCGGGGCACGTCGGCCGTCTTCTCCGGCAGGGGGTGGCCGTCGCCGGGCGCATGACGGCCCCACGAGCATGTGCGGCCCCGTTGCATTCGGGGCCCTGGGAAGGATACAGTCAGCAGCAGGGCTTCTCTGCGCAGCAGCAGCGCGGGACAGATGGGATGACCTCAGGACGTTCCCCAAGACATCTGCCCTCCTCTCCCAAACTGTCCACCTGGGGCCAGTCCTTCCCGCTCTCCCTGTCCCTGCTGAGGCCTCACACCTGGGACAAGAGGGGAGAGGTGGCGACAGGAGCCTCCTCAACGGCCTCCCATGGACTCACTCTGTCCAATGAGCCCCCCACCCCCCCTACCCCGGGCTGCCAGACTCAGCCAGGAAGCCCGAGGTCAGGCAGAGAGCGTGGAGCCCCGGGGTCTGTGAGCGCGGGGCCAAGGCAGGTCCCTACGGCTGCCGTCTGCGCGGTCTGACACCGCTCCGGGCCTGACCTTTGTTCCCGGCAATCCCGGTGAGCAGCAGCTCCTTGCGCGGGGGCTCACGGCGTTTCGGGTTCCACGCCGCTGCTGCCACCGCCGCCCCGGCGCAGCCCCGCCGCGTTTGGCAGGCGTGCCGCGGCCGACGTTCGCACCCCGCACCCCGCACCCCGGCGCGCTCCCCGTCCCCGGGCCTCCGCTCCTTTCCTGGCGGTTCTTTCTGTGGGTTGGTTGGTTGGTTTTCCAGAATAGAATACCGATTCTTAAAACATGTTAAAGGAAAAGCAGCCACTCTACATGAATGTGAGTTGCAAACCACTATAAATGAACATGTCTGAGCATGGATGGTGTCTCAAAATGTAAACATAGCCAAAGAAGAAAAATAAAGGCTTTGCTGAGAATCTCTTATTTTTCTCTAAAGTATGTAAAGAAATACTTGACAGCTAAGCTTAAGGTTGTATTCAAATTGTCAATAAAAGCATTAAAAAACCTTCTGAGTCTGTCTTTGAAGATCTTTCTTACACACTAGCGGGTGGAAGGGAAGCCGGGGGAGCCTGGGTTGCCTTTTTTTTTTTTTTTTTTTTTTAATAATATCATGTCTCAAGTGCTGTCACATTTGAAAGCGCTCTCATGAGCAAACCGTCCTTTAAAAATCGAAGTTACTTCCCTGGCTTATCAGCAAACTTTTCTAATAAGTGTTTCAACAGAAAGTTGAGTTGGAAAGACGCTAAGCATCTCTCCGGACCATCACCTCAGATAATGTCAGTGACTCCGCGTCGCACTCTGCGTGGGCGAGCGGCACTGCCTTTCCTTTCGTGGCTGTGTTCCTCCCCACGGAGCCCCTGTAGGAGCGACCTGGGCGGGGACATTCTGGGAAAGCAAACAGCCCACCCCGAGGGCCCCTCAGTGCCACGCACCCCAGGAAACGCCCTTAGGAAACACAGGGTCCTCGGGAACCATGGGCCCAACATTGACGGAGCAGAGAGGCAGCAGAAGTGAGTGCGTGGGTGACTCCGCCACCCGCTTGTGTGACCCTCGGGGACAATGCAATGTCCAGCTCCTGGGGATGTTCCGAGGACCGAATGAATTAACTCACATAAAGCACTTAAAGCCTTGCACGTAGGAAGCGCTCAGTGAGAGCCCTCTGTTTTAATACGTGAACAAGTCACGTATTAAACAAACCAAACAAACTCAAAAACAAAAACTGATGCAAACTCGTTGCGCATGCATGTTTGGGATGCGTGTTTGGGTGCGGTAGAGGCAGGGGCTGGCCCGTGGCGGAACTGCGTTGTCGGATTTTCTGCCGCTCAGCCCAAAGCTTCCCTCTGAAGGCCGGTTGCCATCTGTGTTTGAAAGGCTTAAAGGGTCAAGATCCAGCTGTTATGCAGGTGAGCTCCAGGGGATGAAGTCAGGGGTCGATACTGTGAATGGGAATGCGTGAGCACAGATGCGGAGTGTTTATTCACAGAGAAGCAGCGATAGGGGGAAAACCAGCACCATTGTGTGGGTGGGGACATGTCCCACCACCGTGTACCTACCCTTGCCTGACCACGTCTGATACCATTGAGAGAACTGGTGTCCATTTTTAAAAGAAAACCCTATTTTGAAACAACATGGAGCCCATCGTCGGGTACCCATTGTGAATAAACTGCCCAACCATGAATATTTAAGGACCTTTCCTACAACTTAAATAATTATGATAAAAGCCAGGGAGTGTTGCTTGGGAAGTTCCGTTTGCAGCGCAGACGGCGGGCGTGGCCTCGGCGGGGCCGTGGTGCTCCCTGGGGAGCCGGCCGCCACAACCCGTTTGTCCCTGAGCCAAGGGGTGGCCGGCCCCAGGAGACCCACTGATCCAGCTCACAAGGGAACAGGGCACGACACGCAGAAGGTCCATTGACAACTGATGATGGCAGCTCCAACCCACCTCCTGACCTGCACAGGTGGGTCGGAATTCGCTTCTTTACCACCCTCCCCTCCCGCCATGGACCGGCCGCCCTCCCCACACCTGGCTACGAGCCAGGCCGCCGCGCCCCCTCCTCAGTGTTCGTAACTTGCTAGGATGCCTCACGGAACTCAGGGACAGGCCTACTTGCTCTTACCAGCTTGGAACAAACAAGGCGAACTCTAGAGCAGCCAGATGAATAGCTTCAGGGTGGGGTGGGGGGAATGGGGGGGTGGGGATGGGGCTTCCCGCCCTCCCCAGGCGCCCACCCTCCCGGCCCGAGGCGCTCACCAGCTCAGAAGCCAGTCCTTGAGGATTCTTACGGAGGTTGCATTCAGTGAGCACGATTCATTGTATCATCGGCCATTAGTCACTGACTGGAGAGGCAGCCCCTCCCCCTCCCCCAAGGCCCAGGGTGAGGGCTGGCAGTCAGGCCTTGGCTTGTCTGGGCAGCAGCCCCCGCTCTGGAGGGACCGGGCCAGCCGCAGGCCTCGCTGCAGAGGTTCCAAAGGCGGGAGGAGCGGGGTCCCAGGGACCAGGTAGAGATTTCTTACATTTACTCATCTTCATCATAATTTAGCATACATGTTTTATATATAATAACTATACATGAATGTAACAAATAATAAATATGAATGTAAGAAACAGTAGAATGCATCTATAATATATACACATACCACAGCAGCATTTATCATGTGAAATTTCAATCACTTATTTACTTATCTCTCTCCCCCTAGAAGCAGACGAGGAGGACGTAGCTAGTACACTCGCCAAACCCGCGTAGGAAGTGAAGCTACCATGAAAGGCTTGCTGGTGGAGTCCAGACGCAGCGCCCAGCGGCTTAGCCGCACGGTGTGGTCGGCCAGCCTCCCCCACGCAGGCGCCCGGACCTCCGTCACAGCTCCGGCCTCAGTTCGGGCGGCCGCCCCTCAAGGAGGCCTGAGACTCGTGGTCAAAGGGTCCTGCCCTTGAGCTCCTTGGTGGGGCTCCGCTGCGCTCCCTACCGCCAGGGGCCCAGGTGAGCTCGCCTGAACCATGGGCGTTCGGAAAACTCTCCAGGTGCACGAGCCAAGGTAAACTGCGCTGGGTTTCCTTTCTACAGAGAGCATGTCGCACCCGCAGCGCTGGGTTCTTACAGTCCAACACTGAGTGGCTACGATAGCGTCTTTCAGGGGTACTATTTAGCATCAAATCTCCACTCAGTGTTTTTCCCCATAAAGTTTTCCTTATGTTTTTACTTTTATTACAAAATAATCATCCCATTATTACATGCTCTTTACAATAGACCAAAAAAGGCAAAAGGAAATAATTAAAATCACCACCTAGAAATAATTATTTTGCAACTTACTATTTCCACTTACAAACATACGAAGGGCATCTTCCCATATGAACAGTTTTCTAAAAGGACAATTTCTCAGGGCTTCATCATGGTCTAGAGTATGGTAATTGAGGTAATAAGTGTTTCTTTGCAATTTTCAGAACTAATTCAGAAGTGTTTTTCATGTGGTGATTAAACAGTTTGAATATGAAAACTATCATGCAACATGAACAAATATTTACAATACAGTGGTAAGTAAAAAGTTCGCAAAAACTGTATGTGTACGGGAATTGCAATTATTTTTAAAAATTCTAAGAAAAAAATTATTCAAGAATGTGCACAAAAATGCAATTTTCTGTGGTTATAAAATTATATATGAATTTTTTACTTGTCTCTACTTTCCATGCTGTTTGGCCGTGTGAAAAATCACTTTATAATGAAAATTTTTTTCTTCAATTTCCCGTGACAGTTCAAGAGGCTCATATCACCTGTAGCCCAGGAGTGAAGATTCTCTAATCAATAATTCTGATATTGAACTTTACTAAAATGAGAACAAAATATAGTAAACCGCCCTATTGCTTCTCTCGAAGGAGTTTGGCAGAGGAGGGGGAAGCGAGTTGGACCGCATCTCTGGAGAGATGGGGTCTGCCTCCAGCCCCCGCAGGGCCGCGGCCTCCCTGGGTTTCTCGTGGGCACCTGCTCAGCCGTGGTGGGTGACCCCCCACCTCCGCTCACCCAGGACGCTCATGCTTCCTGGCACGTGGGAAGACGCCCAAGGAAACAGAAGGCTAACACGCCAGTGTAAGTGGCCACTCTGTCTTATGAACAGGAAGGCTGAGGATCGTATGTCTCTGGTTCCCCCTCAACGCGCCTCTGTCCCAGGGCCTACCCAGCTACAGCAAACGGAGGGTGTGAGGGAGAGGGGAAGGAAATCCGCTCCTTCAGGGCAAAGGGGGCGATCATTCTGTTCTCAAACCATGGGAAATAGACTTCTCTCTTTTGTGGAGTAAATCGGATACATCAAATGAAGTCACTTTAGCTTACCTGAAAGAAGGTTTGAGAGCTGAGACAGCCTTGGGCTAGTAGGGCGGAGCGGTCGCCCAGCCCGAGGACCCCGCTGAGCGGCCCGCAGCGCGCGGCCCTGCAGCAGGCCTGCCGTCTGGCTGACCTCGGCTCCCGGGCCGCCCCGGGCTCAGCCTTCTGCCGCCAGCCAGCCCTTGTGACCCTCCCCCGGGTCCTCGGTAAGCCGCGCTAAGCAAGAGGCCCGCGCCTCAGTGCTGGTGTCTCCAAAGGAGCTCGTCCCACTGAGAACAGCCTCCGTGGGGGCCAGGGGAAGCCCTCACCCACCCCGGGGGACCCGTCACGCGGGGTCAGAGAATCCCTGCGTCCCGAGATGCCTCCGGCATTGGCCCAGCTCAAGCCAGGCGCTGAGCGCGGATTCCCACTGGACCCATTCACAGGAAGAATCCAGAAGAAGCAAACAAGCAGCTCCCAGGGGAAGTACATGGGCAGCAGATGAGGAAAAAAATATTAGGAGGTTGGGGGAGGGAGGTGGAAAGATGTGTTCTTCACCCCCGATTTTTTCAGAGTGGTCCCTCCAGATTGTCGGACCCCGAAAACTCTCCAAAAGAGATAGTCTTAGCCCCTCTGCAGTTCGTCGGGATTTCCCAGCGTTAGAGGGAAATGGGATCTTCTGAAGAAATATTTATATCAGTTGAGCAATTCACTCAGTTTCATTTCATTTTCTTTTGTTAACTTCACATGAAGTGAAAGTTATT